GAAGATCCTCAGGAGTAGGGGGCTGAGGGGAGCAGGAGACCCCCGGGAGTGCGGAGTTGTGGAGAGCTTTAGGAGCAGAGGAGATCCTCTGCAGTGTGGGGCTGAAGGGGGGTGCTCAGTAATAGGGGACCCCCAGGAGCGGGATTTTGCATGGGGTACCTCTTGGAGCGCAGTGAAGGGCTCGTAGGGTGTTGTGGCCCAGTGTTCCCCCCACCACCTGGGGCAGGTGGGTGCCAGGAGAGAGGAGAAGTTCAAGGCGTCAGGGTTTGAGTAATCTGGGGGTCTCCAAAATCAAGAGGGGGGGGAACAGTGAGGGTAGGCACCCTGCTTCCCCCGCTCCCGCAGGTGTGTGGCATGATGAGTTCCCCTGGCAGGGCCAGCAGCACATTCCCCCTGCATGTCCTGGTCTGGAATAATGACTACAGGCGGCTGGACGAGGAGCTGCAGGACAAGGTAACCAGGGTGCTCGGCCGGGTGATGGAGGTGCCGTTGTGGCCCCAAAAATGGCTTGTGCCATGATGCAGGGCTTGGTGCCTCTGGCTTACTGCCTTTCTAGGGAGAAGTAATATAGATGGTACTGCCAGGTCTGTTTGCTGGGTGTGTGGGACTGCTGCGCTGCTTTCTCTTCACCTATTTATTTGTGGTTGCGGGAGTGATGTAAGAAGGCATAAGAATATACTTTTTGTTAAGCAAGATATTAAACATTGACTTCTTATCTGTAAAGCTGTGCTCAGAGCATTCGAGTGCGGGTTGCAGAATAGGTCTTTAAAAAGTATTAGAAGTCATTGAAACACATAAGGAAGAACAAGTGTGATGGACTCTGATTTTTCCTGTGCCAGAAATGCAATAAATGCTGCTTACCTTAATGGGAAGTCAACATGCAGCAAAGGTGGCTGCTGCTGCCAAAAATGAAACCAGCCTCTAGCTTGCTGAGGGCCAGCAGTTCTTATGGCTTTGTTGCTGTCCAAGGCTGTGGGGGCAGCGTTTTTATACTGGCTGGAATGGTTTCAGCATCTCTGGTAAAAAAATGGATCATTGTTTCATGCTGTAGAGTAGAAAAATACAAAGCTGTTCCCTCTCTGGGATGGCTAAGTGAGAAATGGTAATGACGTAAGGAAATGGGCTGAAAAGCTGCAGCAGAGCTCGAGCAGCAAACGTGCTTCTTGCCGAGATGCTGTGTAAAAGCCCTGACGTTTGCTAGTGTGGAGTATAGTTTGCAGAAGCAGAGAATATTAATTACATTATACCTGACACCACAAGTATATGAGCCAAAGATCGGCTGTGCCACCTCCTGACTAGTGACCACCATCTGCAACTCTAACGGTACACCACAGTTTACTAATGCTTGCTTAGAGCATGCTCCTGTCCTATTTTTAGGAGAATCTTTGGAATGCAGTTACTTTTAATCTAATTCATGTAATCTTATTCCTCGACAGAATCTTTAACCTTACTGGCACGTTGCTTCTGTGTACTTATTTCTATCTTTTTCTCTCAAAGTTTGTAATTAAATAAGGTTGTTCTGCTTTGTGTTAGTCTGAGACTGCAGTTCACACCTGTGATGTGTTGCTCCGTACCTTGAACGCTTTATACTGCGAGGAAATGAGCAACGTGTTCAGATGGATTATGCCTGTCTCTTACTTCCTTTATCTGCTTTTAAATAACTTCTTGTTTTAAAGTATTCCAAAGATACGCTTCCTCCTGCTTCCTTGGGATAAGCTTCTTGCTGTCAGAGGGGTACGTGAGGGGATCAAAAGCCGCTTGCCAGCTGCACCGAGTACGGCAAAGGATGGGCAGAGCGTGTGGTTACCAGTTAACAGCAGCAAAAACAACTGGGAGGGACGCCTCCGAGTCCTTCACCTGTCAGCGCAGTCGGCATTGGAGCTGTAGGAAGTGGGGAAGCAAATTAATTAGTGTTCCACCACAGAAGTGAAGAGAGAATGCTTTTAAAATGAAGCTTTCCCAGTGTGTGATCTTTCCAACCTAATGCTGTCAGATAATGGTGTTAACTTGCATAATAACTTTCCTTTCTTATTCTGCTATTGACTTTCCCCTTTTCCTTTAGTTATAGATGCTCTTCTGTTTCAAATCTCTAAGCTAATAGTGAAAAATATGTAAGGTATGAGTATGTTGTGCTTGCATGTTTTGGATATTTATGCCTGTGTAGTTTTTTCTTCTTTTTTTTTTCCTTTTTTTTTTAGTAGCTTGTACAAAATGCACTCACTCTTCATTGTGCTGTGTGTGTCAGTCAACTGGATGCTTTGTAAAATACCATTTGCTTCTATACTTCCGAAAAGTGCTGTACAAAATTGGTGTTGTATGCCCTGTTACTTTTATTTTTCACCTCTCCCCTGCCCTCGTTTTGCATTTTATAATGTTAAACCCTCTATTGGTCTCTCTGTTGACTGTCCATGGTGCAATGCACACAGACTAAAACTCCTGTCTTTTCCTGAAAGACACTTCTGGAGGGAGACAAAAGGGGAAATAATTACAGGAAAAGAAACAAGAAGCATCAACAAGAGCTCAGTGGTGTCTTACAGCGATACCAATTCTTGCCCTGTTGGTTCTGCAGGCCCTGTTCTGCTTCTCTTTTTATTTCAGTGGGGAAGTAAGGTTGCACTGTATGGAGTGCAGCAGGGCAGTGCAGTCGTGTTTGAAAACCTAGGGAATGTTGACTCCTGGATTACTACTGACGAGCTTTGTTTATGTAAACTCTTCATTGTGCTGTGATTAGTTGTGTTTGATCGAACAGCTTCAGCATTATTTCTCTCTCGGATACTCAACAGGATGTTGATCAACGTGATCCACGAGGCCGGACCTTGTTGCACCTTGCTGTTTCCTTGGGTTATATAGAATCTGCCAAAGTCCTCCTTCAACACAAGGCAGACGTAACTAAGGAGAACGCACAGGGATGGACAGGTAAAGAGAACTCGGGAAACAGAAGTTGTGTGTCAATGATTTTCAGTTGCAGGTGTTGTATTTTGACTGCTTTTGCACTGTGTATTTTGCTCTGAAAGCAAACTGAAACCAGCTTGTGTCTGGATTTCTTTCAGTTTTACATGAGGCTGTCAGCACAGGAGATCCAGAGATGGTACAAATGATTCTGCAGCACAGGGACTACCAGCAGACCTCTATGACGCTTGGAGGAGTTCCCGAGTTACTCCAGAAGATTAATGAGGTAATTATTTAGTACAAACCTCTTACTCCAGACAGTAGTTCTCATTCAAGTAGTTGAGTTAAATAAACTGAAATCAGATGGGCAATCGTGGTTTTTCATTTCAACTTGCATATTCCATAACCCCATGGGAGATGGAGACTTTTTCCTTGACTTTACTTTGAAATCCTTACTCATGAACTCCAACATTGGAGGCTGAATTTTGAAGGTGTTGCTGCTCCTACAGCAAAATGTGAAAAAATAGCTCATCAGAAGGTAGCAGTGGTAGGCCAATGTCTTTTGTGTTTGTTAGTTTCAATTTCATTTTTTTAGCGTTCATTTATCACATCTCAAGTTCTGTTTTTTTGTTTTCTTTTGCCTTTGTCTAATATCCCCCCCTGTTAGGGTTAGATTGGTTATTAGGAAAAATTTCTGTACTGAAAGAGTGGTCAAGCACTGGAAGGGGCTGCCCAGGGAAGCGGTGGAGTCGCCATCCCCGGAGGGATTTAAAAGATGGGGAGATGAGGCGCTTAAGGACATGGTTTAGTGGTGGACTTGGCAGTTGTAGGTGAGCAGTTGGACTCAATGATCTTAAAGGTCTTTTCCAAACTAAACCATTCTACGATTCTATCTAAAGTGTTCCCAAGAAATGCTGTACTGAAAATCAGATTAAAACTAGTATTCATGAAATACTTTTCCTTTTCCAGACTCCTGACTTCTACGTGGAAATGAAATGGGAGTTCACTAGCTGGGGTAAGAATCCTGGTCGTTGTTAGCTCTTCTAAACTGTAGACAAAAGGACTTGCTTCTGTACAAATGTCACAAAAGATACCTAGAGAAATACCTGCTCCCCAGAATACTTCACTTCTCAGAATAACCTCTTCTACTTTTGTTGCACAATTATTCTTGTGTTTCCTGTTTATTTTGTTTGTTTGGGGTTTTTTAAAATGGACTTTAGCCATTGTTAGAATTACTGAAGGCTTTTTTTGGGATTTTGTTTACCTGTCTCTGGCTGTTGATGACCAAGACAGT